AAAAAAAAAAAAAATTGCACCGAAAGAGTAAAATACTCATGCCAGTCATAGGTGAAAGACTGATTAAGATTAAAATCAGAAAAGATTTCTGAGTTACAAAGATAGATAATATATTCTCGAATGAAATGACTGCTATTAGGATGTTTAATTGTGCTATAATTTAAAGATGTCATACAGTTATAACAAGCATCAGAATTAGTTTTTCTGAGTTGGAGAATGGGAGGGACAAGTTGAAGAATGTAGAGATACTTAACAAAATAATTATAAAATTATTTGCAAGACTAAAGTTAAGGATAGCTAAGAAAATAGTGAAAAATAATAGTAAATATATTTGAACTAGGTATTAAAATATATATACTATAGTAAGTAAAACAGTATAGAACTCCAAAATGGACCTGTTTTAATCTTAAAAAAAAAAAGTTCTATTCCATTATGATTTGAATACATGAACTATATAATTCCTGTATTTAATGAGTTGAGTTTGGTCTTTCAATGAGATTTTCTTAACCCACTTCTTAATAAAAGCCATCAATACAAAATTTAGTCCTTAACTTTTTTGTACAATGGGTATAGATTTAAAAACAAAGTGTCCCATGGAATTTCTATGCCACAGAAAAGAACTATAAACATTAATGTAGACTTGATTATACATAGTAAGATTAATTTTTTTACCCTGAGGTTTAATACTAACTGTTTAACCCTACATTTTCCATGTGCTTTGTGCCAGGGATGAGGCCATAGAAACAGAACCAATAACCAATGATAATTTCATTGCCACTCCTGGCTTCATAGTACAGAAGTTGGAAAAAAACGGTAAGTGTAAATATCAAGTTCCTTTTTACTATATTCTTTTCAGACTCTTTGTCTTACTAATACCCTTCTGCACCTTCCTAAATTTCTAACATTGAATTAAGAGCTGTTCAAGTTCAGCAGAACTTTGTTATTTTCTCGCCTGGTCCATTATACTCCTGCTATGAGTGAAACCATCCGGTATTTTTCTTTCTCTTTCTGGCTTATCTCACTCAGCATGATCTTTTCCAGCTCCATCCAAGTTGCTGCAAAAGACATGTGTTTCTCTTTTTTGGTTGCTGAGTAATATTCCATTGTATATATGTACCACATCTTTCTAATCCAGTCATCTACTTTTGGGCATTTGGGCTGCTTCCATGTTTTTCCAATTGTAAATAAAGCAGCAATAAACATGGGGGTACAAGTATCTTTTTCAATCAGTGTTTTTGTGTCTTTTGGGTAGATACCTAGGAGTGGGATTGCTGGGTCATAGGGAAGCTCCATGTTTAGCAGTTTGAGGAACCTCCAAACAGTTTTCCATAGTGGTTGTACTAGTTTGCATTCCCACCAGCAATGCAGGAGAGTTCCTTTTTCTCCACATCCTCACCAACATTTGTTGTTGCTAGTTGTTTGAAGATGTGCCATTCTCACTGGGGTGAGGTGGTATCTCATTGTGGTTTTAATTTGCATCTCCCTTATTACGAGTGATGTTGAACATTTTTTCATATGCCTGTTGGCCATCTGCATTTCCTCTTTGGAGAAGTGTCTTTTTAGCTCTACTGCCCATTTTTTGATGGGGTTGTTTACTTCATTTTTGTTGAGTTTCATCAGTTCTCCGTATATTTTTGTGATCAGTCCTTTATCGCTACTTTTGTGTGAGAAAATGTTTTCCCAATTAGTGATCTTTCTGTTTGTTTTTAGTAATGTCTCTTTTGCTGTACAGAAGCTCTTTAACTTAATATAGTCCCATCTATTTATCTTTGCCTTCACTGTTGTGGCGTTGGGTCAGCAGAACTTTGTACCAGAAAAAAGGATAATAGCCAGTATTTGTCAGCTTGCTTGTTTTTAAGACTAACCAAAAACATATATTCATTCATTTATGTTTTATATAAAGCTAACAGTATTTTCCCCCATTTAGCTATAGTCTACTGATTAAAGCTCTGTATTATATTTCTTACATAAACCATACCCTATAATAAATGAGCTACTACTTGTATATATTTTTTAAAATGTAGAGGAACTTAAAAGAAAATCTTTATATTTTGTTTTCATAAAAGATAGGGAATAAATTTTGGAGCTTCATGATTTCTTTGAATAATTATTTTTTTAAAGATTAATTTATTTATGCAAACAGAACAGAAGTGACTACAGGTCAGAAGTGACAGGGTGAGAGTATTCACCAGAGAATAGGCCATTAAGCTTAATTTTCACACATCCTCAGAAAGTGAGTCTAACTATACCCATACTAGAAAAAGGGAAACAGATCTCAAATGTCCAGTATTTGTCTAAAATGTTTGGAGAATCTAAGATATAAACAGAAATACTTCCAACCAATTCCAAATCCCACCTGTTTCTCCATCTTTTCGAGCACTTACCGGTTTTTAGACTTAAGAGAAATTTGACAGTTTGATCACTTTTCCTAGATGCTTACTTTTTCTCTGATTTTTCTTTAAGATTTATTTATTTATGCATACAAGAACTTGGGTACAGGCCAAGGTTGGAGGGTGTAGGGGTGAGAGGATTCACTCGAGACACAGTGGGGAGAATAGGCAGATCTACTGAAATACACTGCTGAGGGGAGCAGCAGGCAGACCAGAAGAGGTCTGCTCCATGTGGGTCACCGCCCTGGCAGGAGATCAAACTTGTGCTGCAGATAGCTTTATAGTGCTACACTTTAACCTGTTGTGCCATCAGGGACTACTCTTTGATTTTTTTTTTTTTTTAAGATTTATTTATTTATTTGTGCATACAGAGCTGGGTACAGGCCAGAGGTGCTGGGGTGGTGAGAGGATTCACCAGAGACAGAGTGGGGAGCAGAACAAGCAGATTGTTGAAGTACACTGCTGAGAGGAGCAGTGGGCGGGTCAGGAGAGGTCTGCTGCGCCCTGTGGATCACCTCTGGGGTGGGTGGGGATAAAACTCCTGCGGAAGTGGCTTTAGCTTCTTAGTGCTGTGCTTTAACCCACTGCGCCACCAGGGAGGGCCCTCTTTGATATTTTTTAAAGATTGCTTTTATGCTCCCATGTGTTACAGATACCAAATATCTGTAGATGAGTGGTTCTGTGTCTAGGATCTCTTTTGTTCTAGGTGTCAATTTTTCTGTCCCTGGGTAATGTCACATGTTTTAATTACTATGTCTTTCCAGCAAATCCAAATTCCTTGCGTTGTAGTGACCCCCTCCCTAACCCTTTTCTTCCCTTTATTTTCATCAGAATTTGATTTTTACATTAAAGAGTTTGTATAGTTTAATAGAATTATGTGTTATTGCCTTTTGTGTTGTAAAATTGTGAAAATGTTTTCAAATTAATATTTTTAATGGTTGCTCTTTTACATGAACTGTTCATTTTCCTTATATTTCTCTTGTACTTTGCAACCTTACTGAACTTTTATTATTGTTAATAATAATTATATATAAATACGATGGCTTTCCTTTTTTTATCCAGTTATGAATACATTATAGTTATAACTTCAAAAATTTCTTTTTTTTAAGATTGTATTTAGAAGAACTGTGGGGGTGGTGAGATGATTTACCACAGAGTGGGGAGAAAAACAGGCAGATCTACTGCAATACACTGCTGAAGGGAGCAGTGGGCGAGACAGTTCATGTGGGTCAGATCCCTGGCTGGGCATCAAACTTGTGCAGCAGTGGCTGCTCATAGATTCATAGTGCTGAGACCTAACCCGTTGGGACACCAGATAGGCCCAATTTCTAGAATTTACTAACTTAAAAAGATACAAGTTATATTGATCAGTATTATAATTTAAAAGTTGAAATCCTTACTACTACTTTGTTTTCAAATATTTATTTTTACACCATTCCATGTATCTTCTAGATGCTGAATATACAAATTCCCCCTTGGCTCCTACATTCTGCACTCCTGGTTTGAAAATTCCTTCTACAAAGAACAGTACAGCTTTGGTAAATTTCCATAAAATTCAAAGCTCTTTTACCTAATGACTGAGATACACTACTATTTCCCAACTCAGTCAGTCTGTTTTTAAAAATTTAAGAGTGATGTAGCCTTTATGAATATACTTACAATATATTTCTGCAGGGCGATTTAACAGAATATATCAAGAGTTTAAAATTCATCATACCCTTCAATCATGTCATAGAATTTATTCTACAGTACATTGGGACAAAATACCTCAGATAAGGATATGACAAGAGAAAAGAAGGGCATTATCGATAAAAGCAAACCATGGAAAACAATCCAAATGTCAGATGATGGAGACATGAAATATAAGTTGTATCTGTAAGATCTGGTGTTGTGTAACTATCATATGTTCTGAAAAATAATGTATAAAAAAGGATTTTTTCAAGAAATATTTAATGGTGGAATGTGTATATGTGTGCGTGTATAAAAATATATTATACACACACACACATTTTATGTTAAAAAAAAAAGTGGCTATAAATATGCCAACATATGGTTGGCATAAATGACTATAAATATTGCCAACATGTGGTTACCCACGGGTAATAGATATATGGGAGATTTTTCTGTGCTTATTTCAATCCAAGTTTTTCTCACTGAACAAATTTACTATAATCAAAAGCCTTTTAAAATTAGTGTGAAAAGTTTAGACAATGAAGTAGACTAAGTTGTCCATTAGATTGTTCTGCTATGAAAATATTCCATCTACTGCCATCTACTTAGCTACTAAGTTAATTACTCGTATTCACAAATATGACTCAGAACTAATTTTTAATATTTTTTATTAATTTGGAATTAAATTTAAATAATCCTTTGTAGCTTTTGGCTACTATATTAGGCATTGTAGCTATAGATAAATTGCTGGACTCCAGTTGAAGTATCGGGTTATCTGTTTGTTGTTCTTCCCATTTACAGTCCATACATCCCTTATGTTTCTTTTCATCCAGAAGGCTCTCTATTGATGTTATTCTCCATTTTAACATTGGGAGATGGGTGACTTCCCCAGTGGGTCTTAGCATGAGTGTAATGCCATGCTTATCTCCAATCTGCTCTCCTTGGGAATGAGGGCATGTGGCAACACTTTTACTCATCCATGTTCTGACTTGTCAAGTTTACTGTTGTTTGAGACTCAGTGGATGAATCCATCCCAATCAGTTCAGCCAACAAGTCCACATAGTTTTCATATTAAGTTCTAGTTCAAACTAGAACTTCCCAAGTAATTAAGATGGCATTTTTGTCCTCATATGTCATTGGTTTGTTTTCTTTGTTTTATATAGTACTTATTCATAAAAGAAGTGTTCTTTTTGAGACCTACTTAAAAATCACAACAGAACTAAGAATTTTCACCATACTTTTTATCACCATAATTTTTTTATGACTTTTTTTATCTATCAGGTACCCACAAATGATCCATTATCAGAAACAAATTGTTCATCAAGTGGTTTGGACATGAAAGACTATACATCATTCTTCTTAAATTCAGATGAGTGCTTTCAGAATTTTGCAGCTCCCTCCTCTCCTAAAATTTCTTCTTATGAGAATCTTCTCAGAACACCTACACCTCCAGAAGTAACTACAATTCCAGAAGATGTTCTCCAGGTTATCTTTTTCATATATCTATTCTTTTGAAAATCAGATACTTGCCTTTGGGCTGGTTGGGGCATTGAGAAAAGCTGAATTGTAGGCTGTTAGGACCTTCTCAAGACCAACTTGGCAAAGATTCTTCTCAACTGAATACAAGCTAGTGATTTTATACTTATGTCCTCAAGGGGCATTTTTACTTTAGATTTATGTTCTGAAATAGGTTATTCCAGGGCTATGTTTACCCTGTTTCCATTGGAGATGTTGCTGGCAAACCAGAAATGTCATTTACTCCACAGTTCTAAGAGTAGGGTATAATTTCTTGAACTTGACATATCTTGAGCCTCTATTTGACACTGATGATTTTTTTCTGAGTAGTTACTTCACCTCTTACACATCTTTGTAAAGACTTAATCTGCTCTCACAGATGCTTTGCTGCTTCTTCCCATTAACCTTCACAGTACCTTTTACAAGGCTTAAGAAATCAGCCTACACATCCAGGCTATATTTCTACTATCTTCATCTTTGCTTTGCTGGCTTTTTTTTTTTTTCTTTTCTTTTTAAATGTTTATTTTTGCATACAAGAACTGGGTACAGGCCTGAGATGCGGGGGTGGGAGGATTCACCATAGACAGAGTGGGGAGCAAAACAGTGGATTGACTGAAATATACCACTGAGGGGAACAATGGGCAGGTCAGGAGAGGTCTGCCACACCATGTGGGTTACCTCTTCAGCTAGAAATTGAACTCGTGTTGCTGTGGCTGTGGATCGCTTCACAGTGCTGTGCTTTAACCTAATGTGCCACCAGGGAGGGCCCCTGCTTTGCTGTTAAACATCTCTCTCTACCACTAAAAAATTTCTACTGTTTCAACTAGCCCACATCTTCAAATTTTCCTTGACTTCTATAATTTTTAGGCCTTCAGATTCCTGTTACCTTATTTATATGATTTGATAAAAAGGAATTTGCTTTGTTCTAGATATTATCAAAATACAACTCAAACCTAGCTACCCCAGTAGCAGTTAAATCTGTGCCACCCAGCAAGGTGTTCCTTACTAAATACAAAGATCAGAACACCCAAGATGTCGGCAACAAGGAAAACTGGTGAAAGTGAGTATACTTGCTAAAGAAAGCATGTTATTTGAGGAGATCATTTAAAGTTAACATTTGAGTAGTAAATTTTGTTAAGTTAATTTAAATCTAACATTTGCCAGTTAGGTTAACAATCTGTTGCCCTTTTTTGACATAAAACTTATGATCTCTGTATCTCAGACACCCACACTAACAAGTTTAAGTTATCATTGGGACCTACCTGTACCCATCTTTTATTAAGTATAAAAATACATACCCACAATGTTCTGTCATTTGTTTTGTTGATGGTTGTAAATTCTGTTTAATTTGTATTTTTTATTTGTATCCTTTTACAGAACTTCCTGTAGATTCAATCAAATGAGATGAAACCAGAGCTGGACTGTCATTCACATCTTTCTACTTCTTTCCCTTTCTGATGTCAAGTGTTCTTTTTAATTAACCTTTATATGGTTTAATAACAGTATTAATGACATAGTTCAGTTATTCTGTTTTAATGATCATGACTGTTCTATTGGTTTCAGATTTACCCTGCCTAATCTAACAGTGACTTAAGAAATATTAGCAAGCAGGATAAATAATTTAAATTTTAAATGTTAGTTTACTACTCAAATAAACTTACTCCTGATATTCTTGGTACTGAGTGGTTATTGCTTCCTAGTAGAACTGTGCTCTGGTCCTCACTCAACGGCAAAGCCTTTTGTATCTTTTATTTCAATAGTGCACTCTTAAGTGCAGTGCAATAGACCTGTCCTCAGTTGGAATCCGGGACTCACCTGCTTTCAGGATGTGTGGAGGTATTTTCCCCTTTTTACTTCATATGAATTTCATCCTCTCAAATCAGTTCTGTTCACCACAAGGTTGCTGACCTCTCCAAACATCTCCTCATCTATTCCCAACGGGTAGAGCATGAGGCAGGCTCTCTGGAATGGTCTCTGACACTTCCTGGATCAGGTGCCCTTCTGTGGACTGTCAGCTGTGGACAGAGGAGCCAGCCTGAGTGCCTCTGGAACTACTGACAACTGTACACTGCCCCGACCGTCACACCCATTCACTAACTGGAAAATGATTTTGTTAATAAGCTCATGATTGAACTTTTAAGATTAATGTCAAAGGGAAAATAACAACCCAGTCATATTGTGCAGACCAATGACAAATTTGAGAAGAAACATGACAAGAATCAACACAAGGTGCTTTATAGGCTCAGTTGGGGAAAATTTGATACACTAAAAATAACCCTTTTTCTGATTATGCCTTGAAAGTCAAATGTGAAAGACCTATCATATTGTTACTTTTCATTTTATGAGAACATTACCACTAAAACTCATTTAGTTCTAGCTATTGCACAATTATAATTTTGTTAAATATAAATTATTTTAAAGATATTTGATCCCTTTTTTTTCAAGGTAAAGCTCTAGTCAGCCTCCTATGAGGCTTTCATTCACTATTTACAGTAACTATAGAGTAGACAAGCTTAAGAGGGGAGTGTATTCAAAGTGACTATAGGACTGAATGCTGACGTTCCTCTAAAGATTTATTTATTTGTGCATACAGAACTGGGGTACAGGCCAGAGGCTCAGGGGCAGCGAGAGGCTTCACCAGAGACAGAGTGGGGAGCAGAACAGGCAGATCGATGAAGTAAACTGCTGAGGGGAGCAGTGGGCAGGTCAGGAGAGGTCTGCCGTGCCATGTGGTCACCTCTGGGGCAGGCGGGAATCTAACTCATGGGGAAGTGGCTTTAGCTTCTTAGTGCTGTGTTTTAACCCGCTGCACCACCAGGGAGGGCCTTTCCTCTAAAAGATGGAAAGAGGCAATGCAATCTAGCAAAGGAAAATGAGAAGGCATTAAAGTAGGAAGAAGGGCCCTTCCTGGTGGTTAAAACACTGTACTGTAAAGCTAGCTGCAGCTGCTTCAGGATAAGTTTGATCCCTGGCAGAGAGGTGACCCACATGGTGCAGCGGATCTCTCCTGGCTCACCTGCTGTTCCCCTCAGCATTATGCTTAGTTGATCTACCTGTTCTGCTCCTCACTCTACCTCTGGTAAATTCTCTCACCTCCCCTGTACCTCAAGCCCATACCCCAGGTCTGTATGCATAAATAAATCTTTTTAAAAAATAAAGTAGGGGGAAGATGGCGGCAGGTTAAAGACGCCGAGATTACTGCGTCCAGGCCTGCATAGGAATTGAGGACTGGAAATGGACTATAGACTTACTGCAAGTTTCAACCCAAAGGAAAACACCCTGGACTCACTAGAAGGTAGATAACTGAGGGGGAATCGGCGATTGGGGAATACTCCCAGGAAAACCCAGGCGCCTGGGAGTTCCTCAGGCTGCAGGAGCCACTTTGCTCCACGCTAAACCCTGAAGGTAAAGAGGTACGGCTCAGCTCAGTGAGTGGAGCCCAGGCTGCAGAAAGACTGCAAATCTGATCCTCAATACCTGGGTGAGGGAAAAACCGCTGAAATTGCAGACCCGATCCGGAGCACCTGGGCACCTCTCAAATCCTCTGATCAGCTCGACCAGCTCGGGAACCGGCAAGATGGCGGCAGTATAAAGAATCTGAGACGACTACATCCAAACTCACATGGCATTATATAAAAACGGAATATAGACTTTCATGCTATGAGTTTCAACCCAAATGAGAACACCCTGGACTCACTAGAAGGAAAATAACCAAGGGAGAACCGGCGATTGGGGAGTCCCCATAAGGGAAGCCTCAGGGGCAGGACCTGATCCCAGAACGCCAGCGGCTTCCAACTTGCTCTGCTCCTTTAAAAATCTAGGTGCCAGGAAGCGCTGTAGAGGGAAACTGCCTGAGGTGGCAGCTGTGCCTGCTCAGCAGCCTTTTGTCCCAGCCCTGCTACAACCCTGGAGATAAACAGACAATTCAGCTAGGGAGAGAAAACGAAATCATGGGAAAAGCCTGCAGCTCAGAAACCAGAGACCCGAGGACACACCACAGACCTGTTGCTGACCTTTGCCCAGCAGCCCTGACAAAGCCCTGGATATAAACTGAGACAACACAGCTAGGTGAGTGGATCCCAAGCTGCTGTGGGGGTGGGGAGTGGGGGGTGGGGAGGTGCCCAACCCTAGGATAATGCAGCAATTTTAACAATCTTGCATGGGCACATTCAACATAGAGAGGCCCTAGGAAGTGCCTCAAACGGGGAGACTTGCTCAGGAGTCTACCTGCTTACCA